ACTCCAATGGAAGAATCTGTGGTTTTCCTACGTCTTGACAAGTGGCAACAAGCATTTCTGCTGAGTGCGGAGGAATCTCAGAAAGGAACTCGAATAAACATTTTCCAGATGTCAGAAAATACATTTATCAGAAGATATTATACTCACCGAACACTTATTCGGACTAATCACATATTTAAACTGTGTGTGTGTGTGTGAGATTGACGAGAAAAAACAAATACTTGGTCTCTCTACTTCTACCTTTGCCCCTTGCCCCCACCTTCAGTCTATTCCTCACACAGCAGCAGCCACAGTGATGCTGCTAAAATCACGCCCACCCTCTAGTGACCCCCATCTCACTCAGAGTAAAAGCCAGAATCCTTCCATGGCCTCCCAGACCCCCCATGACCTCGCTGACCTCGTCTCCCCTACTCTTCCCCTCGCTCCCCCTGCTCCAGCCACACTGGCTTTCGTGCTGTTCTTGGAACATCCCAGCCCCGCTTCTGCCTCAGGGCCTTTGCACCTGCTGTTCTTTTTGCCTGGAACACCTTCAGTCATCCATGTGACTTACTCCCTCACCTCCTTCAAGTCTTTACTCAAGTACTCCATCCTCACAGACGCCGGCCCTATTTAACATTACAAAATCGCCCAGCCCCCGCCCCTACTCCCTCATCCCTCCCCACTTGGTGTCTCTAGCCTCAGCCATCACCTCTCACACTGCAGATTTCACGCATGTTTTCTGTCTGACTTGTCCCATGAGAATGTCAGCTCTGCAAAGGACAGGGATTTGTCTGTCGTGGTCACTGCTGCATCCCCAGCACTGAGCACAGAGACATCCGTTTGTCAAATGAACGGATGAAGGAATACACCAATGGATTGACTTGACGACCCCCTGCTACAGATAAGGAAGCAAACACATCTGAAACAGTATCTCTGTGAAATGGGTAGGTAATCACGTACTCACAGAGGAGCCTACGTATAAACCGAAGGTGTGAAGGTGTAAACTGCCTGAATGCTCTGCCTTCTTTGGCAAACATATTTCATCTTCCAGGAATTTATCGTGGGAAATATAAATAAGTGCTACAATTAAATAGAACGAGATGAGCCTCCTGAATACCAATTTTTGTTTCTAAATAAAGGGAAAGATTGTGCCAGTATAAGCTGTGAGGCATAGGCGGGCTTTTAGCAACGGATGGAAAGATGGACCCCCCGGTAAGTCAAAATCAAGATGAATGTCACTCCCAGTTCTTATTACAAGCCCAAGTATACCCATCAGTGCAAATATAAACCTCCCACACGGGGTCCTCAGAAATTCTCTTCCTTGCCTTATTCCAGTCTTCAACACTAAGCGCACCCTGAGGCTGTAACCCAAGCTCTGCCACGTAGCTCACAGAGGTTCAGGACCCAGGCCTGGGCTGAGACCTGCTTGCGGGGATCCGCCACACAGCTTGGACCCCAGCAGTGCTGTGCGGCATCCGCTCCCTGTTGCTCGGCATGGAGAGAAGGTCAACCGCAGAGAAACAGCAGTCACAGAGGTCAGAGAGAGGCCTAGGAGGAACCACCCAACCTAACACCCCCACCCCTGCCCTCCAGAAGCACACCTACATCAAGCGGGTTTTCTAGGCTTCAGACAGGCAGGGCACAGGCAGACAGAGGTCCACATCCCTGACTCCGCCCTTATCTGTAAACTCATTGCTGTGAAGTCAACTCCAACTCATAGTGACCCTACAGGACAGAGAAGAACTGCCCCATAGGGTTTCCAAAGAGCAGCTGGTAGATTCAAACTGCTGACCTCTTGGTTAGCAGCCAAGCGCTTAACCACTGCACCACCAGGGCTCCTCTGCCCTTACAGGGACCCTAAGACCTCTAGCCCAGCTGCTGCTCCCCCTCCCCCACTCTATATTCTGGCTCGTGACTCCCTGAACCCCTCAGATAGTGATTCCTCATCCACAGATCAGAGCCCACGGCCAACGGTGTATGCCTCGGGGAGACCCCAGCACCTCCCCTGGGCCCCTCCTCACTCAGCTGTGGTGAGGGTCAGGTGTCCACACTTGTCCTTGGGCAAGCTGCTTCCCTGAGTCACCTCATTTGGAAAGTCAGGGATAGCTGGCCTCATCAGAGGTTTGCTAAGGAATTTTTTAGCAACTGAACACTTTTTGAAATGAAGTCTTATATGTTGTTGTCAGATGCCACTGAGTCACTTCTGACTCTTAGCGACCCTGCGTACAACAGAAGGAAACGCTGCCCGCTCCTGCGCCATCCTCACAATCGTTGCTATGCTTGAGCCCACTGTTGTAGCCACTGTGTCAGTCCGTCTTGTCTCGTGTAGAGAAGTCCAGTAAGTCCACAGGTAAGCGTGGAGACACTCAGGTTGGAGCAGGGCTGGCGGGGGAGCAGAAGCCCCACCTCTAACTCCCTTCACCCATCTCGTGACCCGGGCCCCCCAGGAACCCTGGGACCGTCTAAGGCACAGCTGAAAACTAGGAAGCCGGACAGATGCGTACATCCTCGTTAGGCTACAAGATTCCAGCGTCCTGTCTTCATTGGCGATAAGTCCTCCTTAAGAGGGAAGATCACGTCTGCCCTCAGGCTCCCTTTTTCAACGACAGGCAAAGCCCGACAAGCCAGTCTTGCACTGGGAGCTCTCCTGAGTAGGAAATGGTTGCAATGTTGCGCTCCCACCAAAAAGAACGTCAGGGAAGAACAGCATTCCTTGTTGGGGCGGTTTATGTAAAGAGGAATGTAAACATCCCTCCCCCCACACATCTCCTCCCATCCCCACCTGAATATGGAGAAGGCCTAACACTGGCGGGGCCAGGCATCCCTAGCCTCCTTCACAAATCGACTCTCTCTCTGGTGAATTTCTTGATCCTGACTGCTCCTGGAGAGGAACGTATTAAGTGCCAATCAGGGCAGTGTCAGCCGGCTGCATATTGAGCCCATGTGCACGAAAGATCCCGTGAAGGCCCCACACTGATGCTGGACTCAGCTGGGAGGGTTCTGGAGCTGCTGTCTTATCTCTGAATGGAGGATAAGAAGCATTTCAGAGAGTAAAACTACAGCCCAAAGACAGAACAGAAAAGTGGAATCCAAGAGCATTGTACTCCAACAATAAGTAAGGAAGAGTCAGCTATGCATCCTGTCTCCAGTGCCGCCTCCCTCCCCCACCAGCTCCCAGTCTTCCCCAACTCAGCTAACAGCAACTCCGTCCTTCTGGTTAATCAGTTCAAAAACCCTGGTGTCCGCCTCCTCTCAGACCCCACACGCGATCCTGAGGCAAGTCCTCTTGGCCGCTCTCCTTCAGAATCCATCTAGACTCTTATCACGTCACTTCCTCCAACCATTTCCACCCTGGTCCAAGCAAACCACCATCGTTTCTTGACTGAATTTATCACAATCCCCTAACTGGTCTCCTGCTTCCACCCTTGCCCCCTTGTAATCTATTTTCAACAACAGCTGAACAGTCTTACTAAAATACGTCAGATCATGACACTCTTCTGCTCAAAATCCTCAATGGCTCCCCAGCTCACTCAATGGAAAAGTCAAGATCCCCCACAACGGCCCATGAGGTCCTACACCATCTGGCCACTGGCAGCACTCTGACTTCATCTCTTCCATCCCCTCCCCGTCACCCTGCTCCAGCTACACAGGCTTCTTCAGTCTTCCACAAACATGCCAGGACCGTCCTGCCTCTGGGTCTCTGCCTTGTTCTTTCTGCCTTTCACACTCTTAACTGATAACCCAACAAGGATCATCCCTCACCCCTGCATGAGGTCTTTGCTCAAATGTCACCTTCTCAGTGGGGCCTTCCTCAGCCATCCCTTCTACAAGTTCAACCTGCCCTCTCCCTAGCACACCGCAGGCTCCTTCCCTGCTTCGTTTTTCACCACAGCACTTATCACCTTCCATCATAGCACATAAACCAAAAACCTGTTGCCGTCGAGTCCATTCCAACTCATAGCGACCCTACAGGACAGAGCAGAACTGCCCCATAGGGTTTCTAAGGAGCGGCTGGTGGATTTGAACTGCCCACCTTTTGGTTAGCCGCTGAGCTATTAACCACTACACCACCAGGGCGCCACATACCACATAGCTTGCTGATTTATTTCGTTCCCCTAGTAGACTAAAAGCTTTATGAGGGTGGGGATTTTTTGTCTGTTTTTTTCACCGAAGTATCCATAGCTCCTAAGACAGTGTCTGGCACCTAACAAGCGCTCAATACGAACATGCTGACTGAATGAATGGTGTTCTGACCACATGGGGTTTTGGAAGGGCTTCCAAGGAGCCATGTACTCCCAGAAACTGAAAGCCAAATCTTGTGATAGGTAGTTTTTTGCTTGTTTGTTTGGCAAGAGAGTCCACAGCCACAGAGCCTCAAAGGAATTTGTGACTCAAAAAAAAAGGTTTAAGAACCACTAACACAGATGCTTGAATTTACCCAGGATTGTTATAGGTTTCTTCAAACAATGAATAAACTTCATTCACAGCTACATGCTGTAATAAGAACGTGTAATCCACCAGTGGTGTGATTATACCATGTTCTTGCTTCAGAATCTCTAGCATAGAGTCAAAAGATTTGCCTTGGGAATTTTTATGAGCAAATTCTGAACAGGCAGCGCTGTTATCCTGACTGTCTATGAGCCAGAACACTGGTGAGAATGGGAAAAAAAAAGTGTTTTCACAGATTTGGAGCCAACCCCAACACTCATGCAAAGCTCAAAACAAAAATTACACATAATGAGGCTCACACATACACGCAGCATGTGAAGATCCAGGCTGGGCAGCTGATTAGGCAAATAGCTGCCTCCCATCCACCCTATCACCTTAGTCCCACTGGGAAATTACTGGAACTGGAAAGCAGACACAGTCCAAAGTTAACAACCCCACCCCCAACTCCTCCCCTAGACCTCATTCCAAAACAAAATAAAACCAAATAAATCCACACCCATGACCATCCATTGCCAACTGGGTGTACAACCGTCACCGCGTAAGACCAAACTCCAACAACTGGCATGGCTTACCTTCCCCTATCATGGAGACCCCCACGGACATGCCCATGAACTTGCTTTTGGTCCATACGTGAGTGCTGACGCACAGCTTCTTCTCCTTGCACTCACAGTAGAAGCAGGAGATGGGTGGGTGGTGGGAGACTTGTTCAGCCACAAACCTTAGTTTGTAGCTTTTGGAAGGGTCGTCGGCCATCACATCGTCGTGACAGCCAGCAGAAGAGGGAGGAGCAGTCCTCCTCGGCTTGACCTTGTCCTTGGGGACTTCCCAGGAGCAGTGAAACGTCTCGCCAATGATGGGGTTATAGGGCTTCTTAGCCAACGCCCCCTTGCGGCCCTCATGGAAGGCTGTGAGATAATACTCCACGAAGCAAATGACTCTCTCCTCGGGCGTGGCCCCAGCAGTTATGGCCAGCAGCAGGTCTGGATGCGCCATAAAATCTGCATACATCTCCAGCAAGGACCGCTTCTCCAGAATAAACGTGGGAAGCACCACCTGCGTGCAGAAGGAGACAAAGTCAGACCGGCATCCCTGTGATCACACAGAAAAGAGAAAAGGAAAACAAAGGCCACAGCCACTGTCAGGCAAATTCGCCATGGCTCAAGTCCAGGGATGGTTTCTTTTGATTTATGTACAAATGACAAATCAGAGGAAACAGTCCCAAAGAGATTGGAAGTGGCTGCTGTGGCAGCAACGTCAAAGCCAACCCAGCTTCGTGGATAAGACTGTTGGGAATGACTTTCTTCTCTGCCTGTCTGGGCTGAAATGCCAGCTGCTGTCTCTCCCTCCTCCACTCCATCGTCCTTCTAACACACGCACTCTCCATTATTCACTGATGTAAAGAAAAAAGCTTGGAAGGGCTTTTCCGTGTCCTTCCTGACACGAGGCACACCCAATGAGGGCTGCTAGGAGGGCTCTCGTGAACATTAGTACCGGGGTTTCAGAGGAGGTCCAGGCAGACTGGGGACCACCACCAACATAAGAGCGTGGAGATCTCTGGTAGAAGAGTAGTGTATAAACCCCAACATGACCACGGCATGGTAAAACAGTGGAAAGGGCCCTGGTCCAGGGGCCGGCAGGCAGGCTACCCAGCAGACCTGCCACGGAAAGAGGGGCCGTGGATATTACAAGTGCGGAGGCTGCTCCACAAGGCTGGGCCAGAGGAGACAAGCAGAAGTTACAAAGACATAGGCTGCCACTTACCACCCAGAACCTTCTGGTAAATGGACTGGCATAGGTATTACCCCAAGGTTTTGGTGTGAGGCCCCATCACTGACGATATTAAGTAGGAACCTGGAAGATTCTGTCAATGATGGGACAAAGAGACCTCTCATTGATCCAAAGTGGATCCAGTTGGCCACTCAGGTGTTGTACCCCTCAAATGTCCACATCACAATGATTAGGTCATTTAAAGCAAACGAAGAACAGTCTGAGCCTTGGCTGGAAAGCAGGTAATTCATTACTATCACTGTCGTGTAAAGGAGACAGAGCCTGCTTCTCACTGCCCTACAGTACACTTGAAATAATTTAATTGTTGGGTATTAATATGCCACCCACTTAACTGTAAGACACGGAGCCATGGTGGTGCAGTGCTTAAGAGCTCGGCTGCTAACCAAAAGAAGGTCGGCAGTTCAAATCCACCAGCTGCTCCCTGGAAACCCTACAAGGTAGTTCTACTCTGTCCTATAGGGTTGCTATGAGTCGGAATCGACTTGATGGCAACGGGTTTGGTTTTGGGTAGCTGTAAGACACAGCTACCTTTAACCTGAAGCATCTAATATGGTTCCTCCTAATATGGAGCCATAGGATTTTGAGCTGGAAGGCTGGCCTGAGACCTGCTGGCCGCTCCTCAGCATGCCCCATGGTAGGGCAGAGCTAAACCAAGTTCATGCGAGTTGACCAAGGTTGATGCTCCTTCCATATGTGACTAATTTTGTCCTTCTTCCATATATTCCTTAAGTCCCAAGACAACATTTGTGAGGGAGTATAATCACTGACCGTGAATGTCACCCAGGCTTAAAGGATCCATATCCCTGACTCCACTTCCGGTTTCAAAGATACTTTCTTGCAGATGAAGGGAAAGAGAGAAGAGATATCCCGAGAGAGACGGACAGGCAGACATAAAGCACAGAGATTTCGAAGGGAAGTAAAGAAAGCCCAGCTCACTAGAGATGTACAGTTTTGTATCTTGTTTTTTTTTTAAGTTTAGTATCTTTTTAATGTTTCTAAAGCACTCAGATGCTAACCGAAAGGTCGGTGGTTCGAACCCACAAGCCACTTTGCGAGAGAAAAGACCTGGGGATCTGCTCCTGTAAAGAAATTACAGCCTAAGCAACCCTGCACGGCAGTTCTACTCTGTCACGTGGGGTGCCCAGGAGTCGGGATCGACTCAATGGCGCACAACATCTGTCCTTTATAATCCACACAGAGGGAAATGCACCTATGCTAAGTAGAAAAGAAGTCAGATAGAAAATCGGACATTCAATTATTATAAAAAGACCCAAAAGGTTAACATGTCCCCCAGGTGATGAAACTGAGTGATTTTTATGTGTTTCTGAGTATCTTTCTGCTTTGCATTTATCATACAAAAGAAGAACATTATTTAAAACACAACTCTGCAACTCAAAGGAGCCCTGGTGGCTAACCAAAAGTCAGCAGTTCGAATCCACCCGGTGCTCCTTGGAAACCCTATGGGGCAGTTCTGTTCTGTCCTATAGGGTCGCTATGAGTCAGAATCGATTCGACAGCAACAGGTTTGGTTTTTCAGTATGGAAATCAATGGTTTATTTCAGCCAGAACACGACAAAATTGAGAATTTGGCTGCCTGAGGCCCTTGTCTGGCCAGGAAAAGTGAACCCTGGCTGGGAATGGTGTTTAGATGGCCCCTCTGTTACTTGCTGTGTCTTTTTCTGGTTATCATTCAGCGGCCACTACTGTGCTCTCCAGGGTCTCAGCTGCCAACTGGGCTTCTCTGCAGCAGGCTGCTGTGTTCTCCCCATGGTCGCCCACCACACAGGTGTTCAACGGCAGCATAAAGAACAAAGTAACCCCAGACACTCACCACCTTTCCCACCCGAGAGCCACTCCATCCAGACAGGCTATGGAGGTTGGGGAGTGCAGATATAAGCAGCCTGGAAATTTCCAAGGTGCCCTGGTGGCACAATGGTTAAGCGCTCCACTGCTAATCGAAAAGTCAACAGTTCACACCCACCGGCCGATCCACGGGAAAAGGATGTGGCAGCCTGCTTCCGTAAAGATTACAGCCTTGGAAACTCTGGGGCAGTTCTACTCTGTCTTACAGGGCTGCTAGGAGTCAGAATCGACTTGACTGCAATGGGTTTGGTTTTTTGGTTGGGAAACATCCAATGAGACCGCATCAACCAAAACAGGAAAAGGAGCTATAAACAAACGTCTGTACCTTTATACCATCCCCAAATGATACCACTGCCTGCTTTCTCCTTTCCTGAGTCCAGGGGGGCCTTGGATCAGAAAGCAAGCCAGGGGGAAAAGAGGAGAAGCTCATATCAAGGTGGTCAGCCCCGAAGGAGGTTAACTTCAGGTTAGATTTCACAACCTTGACTCGCATCCTCCTGCCCACCCTGGTGCCACAAGGCTTCTCTGGCAACAATTTCACCTCGAGTTTACACCCAGGATTGAAAATACAATGAAAGTATCAGCCCCAACATTTCTCTCTAAGTATATCCTTCTGAAGAGGGCAAGAATTCCAGGCATTTCCCCTAATTTAGTTATCATTTCAAACTCACACGCTCAAGGATTTAAAGTAAATAAACAAGAGAATGAATTCCACTGGAAATCTCGAATCACTGAACATCAGAACCAAAACGGGCTCTCAAGATCAAGTAGTTCAACGCTCTAGTCTCACGGCGGCCACCGGTGGCAGATGAGCCGGGGGGGGGAGACCTCAAAGCTCCCCACTGCCACCCTAAAGATCTTTCCATTCTCCCATGACATGCCATGATTATCTGCTTCTGGTTAATGACAACGTTTTTGTCTCCTGAGCAGACTTGGGACATAAGAAGTGGGACAGCTGGGCCACCTCATCTGATTAATAAGTGGGGGTCGGAGGGCAGCAGGGGAAGGAGTGGGTATGAGCCCTACCTTCAGGTCCACTGTAGTCTTCCTGGCATGGCAAGGTGAGCCACCATTCCAAAATCCATCATTAATGTTACCAATGGAGGGAGACCATGGGTAATTAACAGAGGACAGAGCACAGCGCCCCCTCTCTGTCCTGGAAAGGTACAGCCTCTTACTGGCCTTCCAGCCTCCTGTGGACAGATGCCCACCTTTACCTCCTCTCTCCACCCATAACCAGATTCATCATTCTAAAAAGCACACACTAGTTCATCACTCTAGAAAATGAAGTCCGCTCCAGCCCCCACCTCCCTCTAGTCTCACCATTGTGCATACACATACGCACACTTGCGCGCACACTCTCTCCTCTGTCTCCATGTTCATGCCCTCTCTTACCATGTCTACATGATAAAGAGCTATTATTCAGCTCAAGAGTTATCTCCTCTATGAAGCTTTTTCTGACAGCTGCTATTCCCAAGACTAAACCAACAACCCCCTTCTTCATATCCTCCCTGCACCCCACACATATCTCTATCATCCACCTACAATGCTGTTTTGGCTCCAATTCATGCACGAGTTTCCAAACCGTAAGCTCTTTGCAGTCAGACTCAAGTCTCTAGTACCTAGCACAAGGCAAGACGAATCGATAAATTTCAAGTGGAAGAATGAGACGTCTTTATTTCCTTTGAGATGTTAGATGGGATTTTCCCATGTTCTTTTCATGCAGGGTCTCTTTCATCGTGCTTTTAACACTTCAGACTCCTTCAAGTCAAGATTTCAAATACTGCGTCTCTCCAGGAATCCCAGAATATTCAGATATATACGAAGGAACTCAGGGCTGGCTGGGAGCACACCTAAGGCAGCTTGGACAGGAACCTAGCTTATTTTAGGGATGCGCTCTCTGGGACAGGGAACGCAGAGTCTGATGCAAAGAGAGATGCTCACTTGATGTCTCAGGAATGAGTGGACCTACCAGGTCCACTGCTCCCTGTCCTCATACCTCCTTAGAGGCCAAAGAACAGGCCTAAGTGGGCTCTAGGATGGGCCCTGAAAGGCTCCGTAGCAGCCAGGAGGAATGAATGATAGATACATCCTAGTCTAAAAGCATCTCCATCTTCTCTTTATCAACGGGAAAAAGGTTCTGCTCATCATCATCTGTTATGGATTGAACTGTGTCCCCCAAACGTACGTGTTGAAATCTTAACCCCTGTACTTGTAAATATGACCCTGTTTGGAAATAGGGGTTTTCTTTGTTATGTTCAAAAGGTCATATCATACGGTGGTGGATCCTAGACCTATTCACCTCTGAGTTACGAAAGGACCAGAAAAGACACAGAGACCCCCCGGAGGAACAGGAAAACAGACACCAAGGAATACCGACCAACAACAGATGCCAAGAGAGA